GCAAATAGAACAGTGAGGCTAACAACTCAGACTGTCAAAACTAACACTAATTCACTAATTAAACCCTCCAAATAACAACCTGTATATCCGTCGGTCTGACCTGACAAGTGTGTGTCATAGAGTTTGGTTAAAGATTTATGTCATACAAATTTCTGCTTGCAGAGATCAGGACTGAAAGACCATTACCATATGCATATTAATACCTAAGTTTTTATACAATCTGTCATCAAATTAGCTGCAAAATTGGAGAGGAGGCCTATTGGTTTTAGACAAGAACCTGCTAAGGTTTTTTTTTTTTTCTTCTCCAGTAGAAAACTTTATTCTAGAAGATCTTGATTCTTGAGTGCATTATAACAAGGTGCATCCTATGTATGAATTTCAGAGGTGTGTTTTAGACAAATTCCTTAATAAATGCTGTTTAGTTGTAATTTGTAACTGCTCCTCTTTACATTTTTCCTCAATATATCTAAACTGATGATACTGACGTTAGTTTTTGGGTTCAAATAACATTTTCCGCTCAGCAAAAATGCTCAGATATTCGAATTTCAAATCCCTTTACTTTACAGCACCACCCCAACTATCACATTTGTGTTTTTACACTATGATGGCCATCCGTTGTTGGTTCTCCTAAACTTTGTCGTTGTACTCTTTGGCTCTTGGTCGTCCTCAATCTAAGAAATTTCATCTTTAAGGCTTTTTGTTGGAAAATTTTCATGTTGAAGCTGGGGCCACTAACTGTGCAGGGAAGACATATGAGATTGGATCATCTGGAATGAGCAGCATGAAAAGGCACAGCAAGAGGAGGAACAAGTGCCTCAACGATTTCATCTCCCTCTTCGGAAGAATGCCGCTTGTACCAACCAACGTTAAGGCTGTAGACGCGAGGCTTGAATGGTTCTGGTAACTTGAGTTGTATGTATAATTTGCTTTCCCCACCTGTAGTTTAGTGTCTGTATAGACTGTTGGGACATGGTACATACAAGGACGTAATCTCTAACTCTGATATGGACGTGACTTGCTCCACAATCCAGAATGTTTGTTTGATGAGCGAGCACTCTCTTTGTTGACCCTCCCATCAAAATGCAATAGCATTGATTGTTGGTCTGTTTTGTACAGAACACAGGTTGGGGTAGAAGTTGAATTGTTTGCTTGTTCATCATTTATATCTTCTTTAGTGGATTAATCATTCGTGGCGTATAGTCTAAATTATTCTAAATTAATCTAATTTATAAGGAAGGAGATTCAAATGTAGGTGTAAGAGGGCGGGCACACTACTCGGACTAACTGACCTACCCTATATCTGCAATCATTCCGAACATTTAAGAAACAATTATTAGTGTAAATGAATGGGGTGGGGTGGGGTGGGGTGGTTGGAAACTTGGAGAGGAGCACCCTCGGTATTGTTAAAAGGTCGACGCTAGGGCCACATTGCTTGTGGAGGAGGCCCGGCTTTTATTAATGGGCTTGTAATTTTATCAAGATAATGCAAGAGGAGTATACAAGCAAAGCAAACCTCTCATGTGATGTGATGAATTCTAAACGAGCTATACCTTATCTCATTCAATTCTTCACAAGGACCAGGTTAAAGCCCATTCTTCTGATCATTATTGATTCTTTGCACGTGTGATCATCTCATCAACAGTCAACCTCGTTGACTGGGTGAAGACGATGCCCAGCTAGCCACGTGGATTATTTTGTGTGTGTGTGTGCCCGCGCGCTGGTTATCATGTGTACTCTTTTGTTTTTAGGCAGTGACAGGTCGGTTGTTGTCGACCACCACGTTGTATAATACTTTTCTTTTATATTTACACATATATATATATATATATATATATATATTTATTTATTTATTTTTATTTTTTTTTGGTGAAAGATATTTTAAATTGTTATATTCTTCATCTTTCTCTATTTAATATTTATTTTCTTGGATTTACCCTTACCGGCTTGTTTGTGTTTTGTGAAACGAATTTTCTCTACACCTGCTGTAGGACACTGGGACCCACCGAATAATACAAGTTGGAACTCTAAAATTCCACACGTGGAATCTCATAATTAAGTTGAAAAAATCTACATTATGTTTGACTTTGATACAATTTTAACCAAGTTGTTCTTTGCATATGATGTGACAGCCTATCACTTCATTTTTCATTCGTCATTTTTTTTTTCTCTTTAAATTAAATATGATGGAAATTCTTCAAATATGAAAATACAAATCTCCCTCCCCCCTTAGAGCAAGTCCAGCAGCTAAGGCTGGACTCGGGCTGGGGGGGTTTTGGGAGAAAAATGGGCTCCAGCAGCTAAGGCTGGCCCGAGGTTCATGTGGGGGCCACGAAGAAGGGCTGGCCCGAGGGCAGGTTCAGCCCCAGATCCAAAACTAGGGGGCTGACGTCATCGATGACGTCAGCAACAAAAAAATTTAAAAAAAATCGAAAAAAAAACAAAAAAATTCAGATTTTTTAAAAATAAATACTTAGTCATATTTTTCACTTCCCACACCAAAAATCTTTTAAAAAAATATTGTCCAAATTAATTGTTTAGGTAAACAAATATGTGAAAAAAAACAAAAAAATGAATAGTATTTGCCTTAAACTAGGGCAACTGGTGGAAACTAACATTATTTTTTGCAAGGGCAGCCATTATTCATGTGAATAGTGGCTGCCTTAGCCTCCCCCCTTGCCATGGCTATGGGCAACTGGTGGAATTGCTCTTATATCAATTTATCTTTCTTTAAAAAAAGCCATTTTATTGTTTATTTCTTTCTATCTCTCTCTTTATGCGCCCTTGTAGAAAGATAGAGATAGATGAAAAAGTGTAATGAAACGGAAATATGTAACTATTTCTCCAATTGAAGAGCTTACTGAATAAATGTCCAAAGAAAATAAAAAGGAATAAAAGAATACTTGCACGTGCAAACAGAAAATATAAATGAATAGATGGATTTGGGTCAGGTGAGGTGAGCAGCAATCCACGTTGATTTTCCTGGTTTTCCCATTTTTGACCCAAGAATAAAAAGTCTAGAAAAGGATTAATAAAGGACTTGAATAAAGCAGAGGTTCAGAAGATCTAGTCAACTATTCAAATTATAAAAACTGATCCTCTTAAAAAGAAATTTTTTTTATCAAGCTGACCTCTCCTCCCGGCCCCTCAATATCGTATCATTAGGAAAAATAAAATAAAAATCCAAGTAAATTTAGCATCAACAAAGAAAGTGTGGAAGATAATTTTTTTTATTTGTTCCCTTAATCAACTTGACCCTTAATCTAAGTTAGTTTTCTTAATTTAAAAAACTAAAGTAAAATATTGGTTCATTTGCTACAGTCCCGATCTCTTGGATCACAGGAGTCCAAGAGATTTGTGGTCACTCACCGTTGGATATAAATTCAACGGTTCACTCACTCTTGCACTCCTTTTAAGAAACTTTTTTGAACCATTGGATTAATATCCAACGGTAGGTGATTACAATTTCTTGGACTCCTGTGGTTCAAGAGATCAGGATTTACCTTCATGAAATTTGGGTTAAATAGTATTTACTGAGTAATGAACAGAGATATTTAAATTAAAATAATTGAATTAAAAATGTTGAGTAAGTAAGCAAGCATCATATGAGAAATGAGCTACAACGGCAGCCTGTAAGATGAAAAGTCAAACCCAACAAAAGAAAGATACCAAAGACTTTGGCAGTGGGTTGTTTGGTACTCCCATTTTATTGTTCTTTTAGGGTGGGCCAAGGTGTGCGTTAATTACAAGTTTAATTGCCACCCATCTTTAAAAAAAGAAAGAAAATGTTAATAGTCTTTAAGGGCGTTTCCTAGAAGAAAACCAAAATAGGAAAATGACCTGCTTCCATTTTATTTCTTTATTTATTTTCTCTTTTTTCCGGGGCTTTTCAATGTCTATTTTGTTTTGATGTTTCTTTCACAATAAAAGCGTGATTATCGCAAAAGAAAAGACCTATTAGTGTAGATAAAAGCATGCTTATCGCAAAAAACCTACTAGTGTAGTGGTTTGGAGCAATTGCTCCTCCAAAAAAGGTATTGGGTTCGAGTTCTAGCATTCGTATAGATTGTGTGAATTTAGTATATTATCGCACATTTCAATAGAAAGTCAAACTTTGGTGCAGAGTGGGGAGTACATCCGTTCTAACTAACTTGACTAAGCCTATGAATGACAACATAATAACATCACTTGCTTCTTAAATTCTCTTATGTGATGATTCGGAATAAATCCTAATTATGCGTTTTTCTTTTTTTTATTTAGAAAGTCTCAACTTTTTCCTTTTCCCATGCATAATGCATTATTGTTTGAGATGAAAGTAACCGCACCTGAATAATGATGATGAGGCATATAGAAAGAAAAAAACATTAATCAACGTTCTATGATGCGCTATGATGCGCATGTTAAAGTTGATTTTGCCAATACAATTTATCTGGTTTATACATTATGATAATTTGTCTATTTGAATTAAATAATCAGTCAACTATAAGATTCATTTCAGTCAATTTAAAGAATTAGATTCAAATACATAATCCATCATCTTCTAATTTAACATAATCTATATCTTCAATCTTCATAAAATATTTCTGTTAATATTATCAAAACAAGAAAATACAATCCCATTTGTGAAACAGAATACACGAATCCATTATTTTATTTTATTTTATTTTATTTTATTTTTCCCATAACGAATCAATAATTCTCTCATCATAATTAGATATGGCATTGCGAGTTTCTGTTAAAATTATTATTTTGCCACAAATTAGTAGGAAAACGCAAATTTACAGAAAAATAAAACGAGAAACACTATACAAGAGAAACTCAACGGCGCGCAGGCGCCAAATACGCAGCAAGGTAAAAAGTAAAAAGTGACAAGTGACGACAGCGAAATAAAAAAAGAACGGTAAAAGGAAAATAAATTATTTATTTAAAAAAAAAGAAAAAAAAAGAAAAAAAAGAAGCGAAATTGGCCAATACCCTAAAAAAACAAGGAAAGCGCCACCAAAACAAAACAGACCAAAAATAGGAAAAAGGAAACACATCATCACAATTCAGTGATTCACGGCACAAATACAGAGACAAACGGCTCAACAACTCAAAAGACTAACACAAAACTCCCACTTTCTTATTCTTCCTCCTCCCTCCCAACTGCCACTAAATTGTTGCAAGATTCACTGTTAGCAATTCAGAAAGTTTCAATCTTTATGTCGTTTTGGTGCTCAAGATGCGCCAAATCCCTCATTCCCCATCCCCCGCAGCTCCCCAACCCCAACCCCAACCCCTCGGCACCAGTCACCTCCTTCAACCTTTCGCCGCCGCCACGGCCGCCGCCTTTTCGCTTCTCCTCTTCCTTGTAGTTTGCTGTCGCAAGATCACCCGGAAGCGAACCGCCCCGGAATCCGACTCCAAGCCTCCCCACCGCCTCTCCTACTCCGTCCTCCGCCGCGCCACCAATTCTTTCTCCCCGGAGCGCCTCCTCGGCCAAGGCGGCTTCGGCTCCGTCTTCTTCGGTACCCTCCCCCACACCCGCCAAGATGTCGCCGTCAAGCTCATGGACTCTGGCTCGCTACAGGGCGAGCGCGAGTTCCAGAACGAGCTCTTCTTGGCCTCCAAACTCGACTCGCCGCTCGTCGTTTCCGTCCTCGGATTCTCCTCCGACCCCAAACGACGCCGTATGCTGCTGGTGTACGAGTTCATGAGTAACGGGAATTTGCAGGATGCTCTCTTGCATCGGAAGTGCCCTGAATTGATGGACTGGAGAAAAAGGTTCTCGATTGCGGTTGATATAGCCAAAGGGTTGAGGTATCTGCACGGATTGGACCCGCCTGTTATTCATGGTGATGTGAAGCCCAGTAATGTTCTGCTGGACCGCAACTTCTCGGTCAAGATTGCCGATTTTGGGCTTGCCAGGTTGAAATCGGAGAGTCAGGTAGTGATTGATGTGTGCAAGATCAATAATGGGGTAGAGGGGAAGAAGGAGGAGCTGGAGACTAATGGTGGATGTGACTATGGGTCTGTGGTTGAGGAAACTGAGAGTGTGGCAACTACTGGGTTTGAGGAGTTAAATGTCGGTGTTGATCAGTCGCCGGAGAATCTAGCTAAGCTTCCAATTTCTCCAGAGACGTCGGTGACGCCACTGTCTCCGGTGTCCCCAGAAGGGGATTTTGATAAGGGTAGTTTGGATGACGGAGGGAAACAGAGAGTGAATAAAGATTGGTGGTGGAGACAGGACAGTGGGGGTGTCAAGGACTATGTGATGGAGTGGATTGGAAAAGAGATTGGGAATGGTAGGCCCATTGGAACCACAGCTTCGTCCAGCAGTGAAATGGTTGGGAATTGCGAGAAGAAGAAGAAGAAGAAGAAGAAGAAGGATAGAAAGAGATTGGAGTGGTGGATATCAATGGACGAGGAAAAGATTGCAAAAAATTCAAACAAGGAGAAGAGAAGGCCTGCGAGGGAATGGTGGAAGGAGGAGTATTGTGATGAGCTTGCAAAGAAGAAGAAGAAAAAGAAGGACAAGAAGCAACCAAAAGGAATGAGCTTTGATGAGAATGAGGATCACTATTGGCCGGACGACGAAGAATTGTATGTGGAGAGTAAGAAGAAGAAGAGTAGGAGCAAGAGTTGGGGCAGTATGAGTAGTATTGATTGGTGGTTGGATGGAATGCGTCGAAATAATAGCCATGATTCTGGGGAAATTCCCAAGAGTGGTGGCATTAGTAGTACTCCGAGCATGAGAGGGACAGTGTGTTATGTTGCCCCTGAATATGGTTATGGTGGTGATCCTTCTGAGAAGTGTGATGTTTATAGTTTTGGGGTCTTATTATTGGTTGTTATAGCCGGAAGGCGGCCACTGCAGGTAACCAATTCGCCTCTATCCGAGTTCCAAAAGGCGAATTTGTTGTCGTGGGCTCGCCATCTTGCCCGTGCAGGGAAGCTTGTTGATCTTGTAGATAAGTCCATTCATTCTTTGGATCGAGAAGAAGCGATCCTTTGCATCACTGTGGCATTGGTTTGCTTGCAAAAGGTGCCTTCTCGACGGCCCTCAATGAAAGAGGTTGTGGGGATGCTGACGGGTGAGTTGGAACCACCCAAACTACCGCCTGAATTAACCACTTCAGCTAAGTCACGCTTCCCATTTAAGTCCCATACAAAGGTCCGGTGAGTTTCTAATGTATGATATTGTTTTTTCATTAACAGTAGGTGGTATACTGCTACAGATCATTACTATGATGGATGATTTGTGTATTGAAAGGAAGGAAAAGGAATAGTTTTCATTTGTATTAACTTATTAATGAATTTAGATGATTGGAATTTCTTTCATTTGCTCATCTCTTTACTGGTATGGTATGGCCTACAAATCCGAAAGATTTTTCATCTTCGTATGTAATCATAATTGGAGGTAAAAGATGAAAACATTGTCACTTTGTCATATTCCTCTTGCACTGACTTTCAGGAATTCCACGTTTTGCTTTTTTGGAGTGGCCCATTCTCTTAGCGATAAGGCAAGCTTACTCATTTGAATAAGTTTTGTAGAAGTTGAATCCGATCCGAGCAACTTGCATAATGAAGTTCTTTTAGTTGACCCCCTCTTGCCTTAAAGAAAAAGAAAGGGGGAAATAGAGAGCAACTTTCTTTTCATCATTTTAAAATTTTGGGCAGGGTAGTTGTTCATTTCTGTCTGCTGCTTTGTCGAAGTTGACTATGCCTTTTACATTCTTTTTTTCACTTTGGTAATGGTAGAGAGGGAAAAAAAACACATTCATATAAACCAGGTTTGGAAGAGGGTGATACAAATTTAAACATGGACGACGATTGTCCTGTGACGATGCCACTACGTTTAAAAGACGATTCAGTAAATAGGTATTATTGAGCTTTGTTGTCACCATGCGCACATGAAGACAAAAATCTGGGGGGAATAATGATAGGTATTATTGAGCTTTGTTGTCACCATGCGCACATGAAGACAAAAATCTGGGGGGAATAATGATGCTGCTGCTATTGCCTCTGTTTGCGTTTTCCATTCCAGCAACTCATGTCGCCTCTGTTTTTATTATCCTCCAAAATAACGCAGCCGCGCTATAATAGTTGGTAATTCGACCCAAAAAAAGAAAATAAAAAAAGAGTAACGAGTAAATGGAAGGCCACGGGCCACGGCTTAGGCCCAAGGTTTGCAATGTCTCCAATTAGTCTCCGAGCCCAGTCTATACTTTTTATTTTTAAACATCTCACAAATCGCCTTTTGGCCACACACGACGTGTCGCTGAAGCTGTCCACCATATGGCATATTCCTATTATAATTTATAATTAATTATAGGAGGGAGACGACGAAAGCCTGATAATCCTGCACTGAACATGTGATATGTGCCTTTAAGAAACAAGATGAGACGTAAACTGCTACTAACTATACATCGCCAATACTGATGACATCAAAAAAAGATTCATAGAAAAAAAGCCTCAAGGGGGCAAAGGCCCATCCATCATTTACCACAAAACTAATTGCATGGGTGAGCAGAGGCAGCGCTTCCTCTGCTCTCAACTTAATATTAATATCTACAATAGAAACCATCACATTGACATCATGAACTATACAAGAAGTATATATATATATATATATAGATATATATATGTTACCAATACAAGAAGTATATAATATGTACTTTTCATGCGTACCAATGAGTATATAAATGATGGTCCATATAAAAGTCTATATATATATATATGATATAATTTGCTTCCCCGCATATAAATAAACGATATCATCTTCCTAAACTGCACAAAATTAATGCCAGTTCAATTCATGACTTCAACTGCACAAGGATCCCATAGAGGATGAAAAAAAAGAAGAAGAATCAATTTAACTGACCAACTCCTTTCTCAAAAACTATGGAAGGCACAATAGTATATATCCTGCACGAAATTAAGCTCAGCTTGAGAAGTTGTACATAAACAGAGAGATTTGGCATTCCTTCCTTTCCTTTATCTTACAGAAACATTTGGGAAGGCTTCACAAAATCAGCAAGCACTTAACCTAATTTCACAAGGGAAAATGTAACTAACAAGTCACTCTTGAGAGTCATTAAACCAAGTTCAATTCTAGCTATAATAACGAAAAATAAGATCGAGGCAGCATACTCCACGCGAATTAATATACTAAAATTAAGTTACTCGGATATACATCTGGATGAATATGGAGACACTAGTTCGGCTAGTTTCTGCTCCAGGCCAGAAAGATCAATACCTTCAAGATCATTTACCTGAGAAGCAAATTTTGATTATATGCAGGAAAACCGATCAATGTTGGAAACTCCAAACATACATACACAAACCCTAAACCTAAACATATCAATAAATTATTAGGAGTTTAGAGTACGACCAACCTCGCACTGGATCGTATGAAGGAGTCTGTCATTTCCTTTGGAGGAAACACAGCTAACAACGGCAAGCCCTTGTTCCAGCAGCACTTCCAGAACCCTTGAGATTGAGAAGGACAAGGATAAGCCATCTTTTGTAGATCTGAAGCCCCTACAACTGATCACGATTTGCACTCCACCACAACATGGGTGGACCGTCAAACAGCTTGGCGAACGCCCATCTGAGCTTCCAGTAGTAGCCCCATGGTCAGTGCCAGTGGTGCTAATTATATTGGAACATTTCTTCAATTCAGCTCTCTTGGCATCTAATCTCTTGATCCTACTCTGAAGGTGTTTTATATAGTTCACAGCCTCGTTCATGTGGTCAGATATCGAACGCTTTCCCTGCTTAATTTCCCAACCAATACGTAATTAACCCTAGTCATATTCTTGCAGCTAGCCATGAGAGAGATGCTAGAGGAATTGATGTCAAATCTCACATGGTATTCATTTAATTGTACGAAACCGCGATGTTGGATGTAAAAAATTAAAGCAATTTTTACAAAGAATAAATTCCGAAAAGAAAAAAAAAATCATATTGGTTCTGAAGGACCTTGATACATGTAGTTCACGCACACAAAGATCATTAATACAGGAGATGGCAGGGTGCTTCACCTTGATAAATTCAAGAGGAAGTAGGGATCTGAGTGAGGCATGTAGGGTACCCATTTCTTGCCTTCTTTGTCTTTCGTTTTCCCTATGCATCATCATCTTCTTCTTCTTGTTATGATCATTCGAATTCTGGTCAATCATGTCATAGTTGAAAGCAGCTACTAATTTCCGCCGGCGGCTTTTCCCCGTGCTAATGGCATGTCCAAGAATCCGATCTTCTGAAATTGTGTGCTTTTGGGGAGGATTAGATGAAGTCTGGAAGACCAGCTTCTTGCCTTGGTGTAAAGGAAACATCATCTATTGCACAAGTTGAGAATTATTGAACAGCTAGCTTCAGCCTTGTCTCTAAATGGGGTATGGAGGATTAATATAAAGAAGTAGATATGATCAATCTTAGATGGGCCTAAGATCCCAAAGATTCCTTCAAGTTTGACATCTCTCTTCAGATACAAGATGACTGATGACTCTGTGTGTGTGTGAGAGAGAGAGAGAGAGAGTGACCTCACCGGCCACTTAAAAGTATTTTTTTAATATGCCCGTTTCGTTTGCCCTGTTCCTATGTACAAATGTTAATTGCATTCACATTAGGTGGTGGATCACATACCTAAATAAATTATCCATTTAATAATTGTATCGAATCAGTATATATTGATGAGTGATGATTGTTTCTCAATTCGTTAAATTGATTACAAGGAATTTGAACTGAGACATTCTTTCTGGAAGATAAAATTAATATATATATATGTAGTAGGGAAAGGCCCAAGGGTGTCTGTGCAGTGTAGCAGGACCCTAAAAACAGGAAGCTCGATTTATGAGTTGGACAAGGAGTATCAAGAAGATCTCTTAGGAAATTGCCTGCGTGCTTTATGAGTTGGACAAGGAGTTGTTGATAATGTTGCATTTCTGAGACAAATATTTTGTAATGGTCGAAGAAACAGCTAAGCTAACTATTCCTAATTGTTTTTCCTGACAAAATCAAGTAGCGAATCTATTTTAATATTACTAGTGGTTGTGAAACCTATCTTATCAATGTGTAATGGAATAATTAAGCAATTTTTAATGGTACAAATGTGGTAAGCCTAACATTACCATTTTTAATTACTTTATTAATTACTACTATGCATATAGTGAATCCTACAGGATTGAGCAGGACTTGAAAATCAATTTAACATGTGATAGACATGCATGATGAAATTAATGGTCTCAACGGTTTAAGCTTTTAGAGAGTCTACATCTATCCATTAATTTGATTAGACCCAACTTGATGACTTTAATTATGTAATTAACATGGTCATCAATTCATAGTTGGTAAGGGCATACAAGTTGCATGGCGTTGATTATATAATATTTTGGATCGTTGGACTCGTGGGTTTTTACACACCACACACACATATATATATATATATATATATATATATATATATATTATTTATAGTTAATAGTTCTACCATGTTTTACTTTCTTCCTCTTAAGATCATTCAAACGTAACTACCTTGCAGTCCCATATGATTGTCAATTGTACAATGAGGGATGAAATTATTTTAATGATCCGAATCATCCATTTATAAGTTTTTATTCCAAGATTATATTTGTAATTATTATTAAAAAAAAGAAAGACCAATTAATTAGAAATCATTAAGACATGTACTTATAACAACAAAGGTGTTTCAAGAAAACACAAATATATTTGAGTGGTTAAACGGTTTGGATTTGAGTGATTTTGTGTGTTGAAAATCTCTGAGGAAAGACATAAAAACTTATGGTTCAGATTATTAAAATAAAATTTGAAGTGGGATCTACAAAGATGTCTTATTTGAGTGATTTTACAATTGAAACTCTGTTTATATACGCCAGCTTGGTAACATACAAGAGAATTTACTATTGACAACAGTGCAAAAGCTTGTTATTTGTCCAATTATTCTATGTTTTATATTTTGGGCATAAACTTTTGGCCATTTTCTATGAAAAAAAAAAAAAGAGGCTTCAATCATGCCATCTATTGCAAAATAATAATGTCCAAAAGTAAAGAAAAAAAGAAGTAGTAAAAGAAACAAATGGCATGGGAAGCGTTAAGCACGGTGCAATATTTTAATACAGCTAGCGAGGCCAGGGAAGAGACTTTTGGGAATCTTGGGATTTTAATTTGGTCCATATGCAAGATCTAAAACCCTAACTACTATTTTGCCTTCTTTGCCACTCTGAGAAAAAGAAAAAAAAACTTGAAGAGAGTTTTGACAGTATTCTAATATACAATGTTTCGTTTGCAGCAAAGAAATATAAGTTGGTCCTCTCCGTATT